TCGAAACTATGGACAGTGATGGGATCTAGAGAAACTGCATTTTTATTCATTTTATTCACATATGCAAACAAATTCATTAATCTATGTTTGTGAATGAATGCGTATGTATATATATATATGTATATATATATAATAAAGGTAGGGGTACTTAATACTTGAGCTCATTTATGATCTAAAAAGTGGTGCAATTGATACATATCTTAAAGGGCAAACCCAGCTTTTCGCAAAGGGTAATCTAATTCTAATCCACATATTGTAATCGAATGATTAAAAGATTAAAAAAAAAGATCGTACGATTTTTTTAAAAAAATTTCTGAACTGAAGTCTTATTTTGGCCTTGTCAGATCCTATGGACGCCAGGTTTATTTTCATGAAGCTTCAATAAAATGTGATTCTGTATTTATGTTTGTTGACCTTAACTTTCATAAACATCCTATATATTATATACCAAATGAATATTCAATTATTTGTTCAAATAGTAGCTTAACGAATCCTTTTAAATTTAAACTAATTCTATTGTTTTATACTCAATTTTCTAAAAGTATTTCCTAAATGTATATTTTTGAAAGTTGGACTGTAATTAGTCTTCTTTAAATATATAAATAAATAAATATATCTTATCTTCAAGCAATCATTTTTTGCGGGCTGCTTCTTACAGTTTCATATTATTGAACAATTTACCAATTGTTCGTTATTTGATCGCCCAATAATAATAAAAAATCTGCAATTGACATGGAATTTCATATTTTTGCATAAATAAATAAGTAAATCAACGCAATCCAAGATTTAACAGACTGTAGGGAAAATGCAGCAGATGTTTATTGATAATGATGAAGTACTAATCGACATGCTTATGCATATAGAACAAGGTATTCAAATCTATATTAAGGTGGATTAAAAATAAATATCAAATCAATATCAAATATTGTCATATATAAAATACAAATCGAGCTCTCATTTATAGTTAGTTAGTTAGCTACTAAATGCTGCAAGAGCGTGTAAGTTCATAGATTGTGCAAGTTCATTGGTATTATATAGTTACACAAGAAGCTGCTAACAGTATTGAAAAAACATGCCAAATTGGCAGAGCGTTGTTTGCTGACTCGAAATTGATATGGGGCTGCCAATCAATTGGCGAACACTGATAAAGCGAAAAACAATATAAAAAATAAATACATGTGCAAGTGTAAACTGTCAACTCATGCAGCCGATGATTGCAGATTTTCGATTTTTCAATTTCCCACTGTTGTCTAGAATTTCAATTTCGAAAAGTGCTGAGCCAGGTGCCTGCATCAGCTTCGTACTGTTTCCGTTTGGCCGCTGCGCCGGCACGTGTATTCCGCCGGTCAACGAACGCAGACACAATCACAGACAGACAGACAGACAGACAGACAGACAGACAGCCACACACACAGACAGAAAGTGAGAGAGGAACTGAGAGTGTTAGCAAACTGGGTGGCTATAAAACCGCTGGTCTTTTGGCAAATGGCATACAGTACGGTTTGGTGCGGTGTCTCTACAATAGAAGCGAAACTCCTTTGGAAAAACATGAATCCTGTGCGCACTCTGTGTGTTATGGCCAGCCTGATGGCCGTGGCTTTGGCCACAAATGCCGGCAATGGCAATGGCAATGGTCACAGAAGCAAGAACTCCAACTCACTGAACAACATTGAGGATCCGAGCAACTGGGTCACCACCAGTGAAATTGAGCAGCTCCCCACGCTGAAGGAGGTGACGCTCCGACGTCTCGAGGACATGTCTGCTGATGAGGGTGCCACGCTTCTCGATAAATTGTGTAAGTAATAAAATCATTTCAATGATAATCTGATTATAAGCTTACGTTTTTTTTTCTTTTCGAATCTTTACAGACCATCTGTCGCAGTTCAATCGCATCTTCAAGCCCGACTATATGCCCGAGCCGAGCAAGATTAAGGGCTACATTGTTGGCCAGAACGGCGAGAAGATCGAATTCAATATGAACAACTTTGTGCAGACGGTGAAGCGTCAGCCCAACTTTGGCGACGACGAGGTCACTATTTTCATTCAGGGTATGCCCGAGAGCTGGAGCCAGGCGAACAAGGCCAATCGCAAGTTGGTCCAGGCCTATCAGCAGCGTTACAATCTCCAGCCCTATCCCGGCCAACAGGACAGCAGCGAGGAGCAAACGCAACAGAAACGCAAACAGAACCAGGACCAGGATGACAACACAACCGGTGATCTGGTGGTCATCGCACTTGGCGATATTATCGATGACTTTGAGCAGTTTGCCACATTGAATGTGGAGCGCATTGGTGAACTGATTGGCAGCCGTCTAGTGCAACTGACCAACGAAGTCAATGTGCCTCAGGAAGTTATCCATTTGATTGGCCAGGGACCAGCTGCCCACGTTGCCGGTGTTGCCGGACGCCAGTACACTCGCCAGACCGGACACAAGCTGCGCCGCATCACTGGCCTGGACCCCTCCAAGCAGTACGCCCAGCCCGACAACAAGCTGAGCGGTCTGTCCCGTGGTGATGCTGATTTCGTTGATGCGATTCACACGTCCGCCTATGGCATGGGCGTCCAGAAACGCCTCGCCGATGTTGACTTCTATCCCAATGGACCGGCGGCTGGTGTTCCCGGAGCTGATAACGTTGTGGAGGCATCTATGCGCGCCACCCGCTACTTTGCCGAGTCTGTCCGTCCTGGCAATGAACGCAACTTCCCCGCCGTTGCCGCCAGCTCCTACAAGGAGTACAAGCAGAACAATGGCTATGGCAAGCGCGCCTACATGGGCATCGCCACCAACTATGACATCCGTGGCGACTACATGCTCCAGGTGAACTCCAAGAGCCCCTTCGGCCGCAACACCCCCGCCCAGACACAGAATGGCTACCATTCCGTTCATGAGTCTTGGAGGCAGCAGCAGAGGCAGCAGCAGCAGCAGAAGAAGAACTTCGCTTAAGTCTTGCCGGAACGTTCAATCCAAAAGAAAAGGGCTAACATCAACGACTAGAACAACAATAACAAAACGCATTTCCTTCCATATCGATTGACTTGTTTACGCTTAGTTTTCAAATAAAATTTTGCATTCTCAAAAAAATAAATAAAAAAATTATTCCATTAAATTGAATTGTTTATTCAGACTGCAAGGCGACTACACGAATAGAAATCTTGGTGAGAAATCTATTCATTTATAATCTATTCCAAGTCATAGCTCAATGGGCAAAAGATTTAAATTGATATCATTTTGAGCTCTCTAAAATTATCTTTATTAAATGTTTATTGATAACTTCCACAGTTGTCCTAAAAACGATCCCTATTTTAGAGATTTACTAATAGTAAAGTAAAAAATAAGTTTTTCTTTTATTTGGGGATCGGCCAAAAGCGTTCCATAACTCAAAACTAAACCGATTTTCAAATGATTTGTTTTTGTCCACTAGAATAATAAATTCGCAAACTCGATTTTGGGACTACTAAATATATATATGTATATGTGTTTATTGATTTTGCAACAAATTACACTTTATACAAAGTATTTATTATGTGCATTGCATTAAATATAAGCTAAATATGAATATAATTTGATTTCGATCGAAGTTAAATGGGGACGGGAAGGGAAAAAAAAAGTCAATTTATATTGCTATGCTTAAATAAAATTAAAATATCAACATTATTACGTGTTACACACACATATATATATATATATGTACATATGTATATACATACATACATACATAGGCATTTACACACACAGATATACCTCAAAGAAACTAATCACAAACAATTGATGTGCAGCATGTGCAAGAAAAATCCATATGTCTCTTTGCTCGATAGTGCCTTGGGGCCGCAAAGGCGTGTATTCAGTCATTGACCCCCACCAAGACCCACTTCACATCAATTAGCGACAGGCTCGACCATCGACGCTGGGTGCTGCCCAGGTGCACATGCCGCTCGAGCCATCGTAGCCGAGACCCTTGGGGCATGTGTATTCCCAGCCCACAATGCCGCCGGTCTCCTCGAATTTGGCACACGAAATGAACTTGCGACAGCTGAGCGGATGTGGAAAATTGCCCTGCTCCAGACACTCAATGATGCCACGCCCATGTACAATCACCTTGGGCATTGGAGTCGGAGTCTGAATCTGCTTTTGAGTCTGAACCAGTCCATTGCGTCGTCGTGTTTGTGGTTTGTTGCTCACATGTCCATCATCATAGTACTCGTAGTCGGAGCGATGCTTGAATGGGTATGCGGCTGTGGATGGGGTTGTGGATGTGGCTGATACTGAGACTGAGGCCGGCTTACTGGGTGGCCGACTGTACACCTCAATGTACTTGTGCGGACGTCGACGGCTCTGCTGACGACGCGATGCTGGCGGTGACAAAGCTGGCGTTACGGATACTGCCGTTGTACCGGATGCGGGCGTAACGGACTGTGGTCGACGTGGTCGTGCTATCATCTGACGGCCTGCGAAATACAAAAAAAAAAAACAATATTAATTAATGTTGCACAAGTCCGAGTATTACAATATGGAACAGCCCGCATCTTACGTGTGCTATTGACCAGGAATGGTGGCGAGGGAGAGCTTGTTGTGGCAGCACTGCTGCCTGTGCTGGTCGTTGTGGTGGTGATGGGCAAATCATAGCTCACACGTGGACGCACCTGTTCCGGTATTTGATTGAAGCGACTTGTGTGTATGCTGGACTTGGCCACCTGATCCTCATCATCATTCCATCCAATGCCATCCAAAACAGTTGTCGTTTCAATGGATATCGCCGTAGTCGTTGATCGCTGCGGAATCACGGTAGATCCTAGAGTTGGGCGGCGCTTGAAAAGCGGATTTTGTGTGCGTGGCACATCTGTGGCTAAACAATACAAATTTGTAAGTCAACTGTTGCTGATGACAATTCTTTCATTTTGATAATCTACCTTCCAAGTTTGGTAACCTTAACTTTAAAATTGCGGAAGATATTAGCTTTTGAGAATTTTGGGGAAGGAAGTGGGTGCTGCCATGGATATATTTGAATATTACAGGAGGTTCCTAGTAATCTATATTCAAAGTTAGCTAACTTCAGCTCTTAAATTGTATCTTTAAAACTTTTCGACTGTAGTTTTGAAATTATGTGATATATGTGGCTTTATAGATTTGTGATTATGTATTTTATCGACTTCCCGGCCTCCTAGTGGACGTGGAACCCCATCATATTTTAACACTTTGTCTTATAACTTCCGCATTGGAGTATAAAAATAAATGCTATGTTCTAGGTTCTCCTAGTTTAGCTGCCTCTACTAGAGAATTTGGTAAACATTTTTTCTCCTTATTATCATGTAAAGATCAATCAAAGTAATGATTAACGGATGCTTTCGTTTGCCGTCGTCCATCTACAGTTTATCAATATTAGGTAAATAAACCTATCATTCCAAATTTGAAGTCTTTAGCTTATGATAAATCATGATAATTCTAGCTTATCTTTTACACAATTTAAATGGGTTCAAAGCATATAAATATTGATTTCAAGTTACAATTGATTATTTGGACTATTAACATACCTTGATAAATATATTTAAATATGTTTAAAATGTTATTAAATAGTTATGTAGGTAAGATTTCAATAAATATCTAGATAAACATCTGCCGATGACAAGGAATTATGAATAACGCCAACCAATGCTGATTGTTCCTCTCACTAATAATTAACTAGATGCCCCAATCATGAGAAGGGGCAGCTGCTAACAGGTTGTTGCTGCGAGTGTGAATGATGGCAACATTCGATTTAATGCTTACCGCCCTCATCGCCATTTGCCGGGGAGGCTGTTGTTGTCAGACGACGTGTCTGAAACTGGCGACGCAGCGCATAGCTGGCTGACTGGAATTTGTTGGGGTTCGTGTTGCTTGTTGCTGGCGTCAATGTTGCCAGCGACAATGTTGCTGGCTCAACGATTGTTGACGAGCTTTTTGTTTTCAGCTTGTTCAGGTAGCTGTTGCTGTTTTTGTTGCTTGTTGCTGCTGCTGCTGCCGTTGTGGTAATTGTTGTGGTTGTTGCTGTGGCTGCTGTTGACTTACTACGCAGTCGATTGTATTTAGAGGTCGTCGTCGGTAATTCTGCAATTTGCGTGCCTGACTCAGATGATGCCGATGCCGATGCCAAAGCCGATGTCGGTGAGTTGATTATGCGTCTGCGCACGCTCAACACTGGTCGACGCGACACAGCAGCAGCAGCAGACCCAGCAGCAGACCCAGCCGCAGACGCAGCCGCAGCCGCAGCAGAGGCAGCAGCAGTTGAAGTTGAAGTTGATGGCACAGTTTGTGTGCGCAGCTGGCAGTTGAAAGTCGATCCATCCAAGTTGTTTTCAGTGGTCGATAGTCGATGAGGGTTTGTTAAGTTTTGTGTGGCACATGAAATGAAGCGAGCAAATTGCATTTAATATTGACAATTATTCAAAATGAAAAGTTTTAACTATTTTGCATATAGAAATTCATTCATTCATTGATTGATCGGTTCTCTTCGCTCAACTTCCTTGTTTTGTGCTTTTCTTTTTTTTTTTTTTTGGTCGTGTGTGGGTTGTGCGTTTTATAATTGTTGTTGTTTCTGTGATCTCAATACTGAGGTATCCGCGTTGTGCAGTTGCAGTCAACAGCAATCTAAAAGCAAGCTACATATTTACGTATATATATTTGTGTGTATCAATTTGTAAATATATTAATTAGTATTAGTCATCACAATTGTAATATGTAATAGTAAAATAACTACATTAAAAACAAAACAATTACTAACACTTCTATTTTATATTGTGCTTAATAAATGGTTAGGTTTTGTTTGTTTGTGAGTTGTTTTCTTTCCAAGCCGGGGCAATTTGAATCTTTTATCAAATACATCAATACAGAGTCCCCAAAAATGTTGTACATACATCAAATCGGTATGGAAAATATTGCCTGAACCAGATTGACAAGATTCAAATTCAAATTTGTAAGTTTTCTTTTGCTTTTTTTATTTTTGCAATTTTCAAATTGCAATTAGTTGAAACCTGCATAGGAATATTAAATACATAAATAAACATAAGCTAGCCATAAGTATACAAATATATACAATATATACTGACAGTTGACATGCCAAAAAAATGCAGTCTGGCATTTTAATTGAAGGACGTTAGAATGTCACAGATTATACATTGTATGTATATGTGCATGCTGGATGCATGTATATATATAAATATGAGTATATATATATATATATATATATATATGTATATATACTTAAACTGAGGCAACAAAAAAATCCATAATGCCAACGAAATTGGTACCAGTTTGGTTTGTTGCTTGAGTGCAGCATTGTGTTGGCGTTGAGTAAATGTGAAACTCTTGGTAAGTGAGTAAGTCTGTTGTTGACATTGACAGTAAACAAGAAAAAATTCAAATAACGAATGACAACAGTCATATGAAACCTACGTTGTGAGATTTGGCTAACTGTCTGTGCGTGTGTGTGTGTGTGGGTGTCTTTAAATGCCAATGTCGCTGAGAGATGAGCTAATATGCCACGCCCTGCACACGCCGCACGCCGCTTACGCAACATGGAAGTGGAGATGGTGATGAAGATGAGCCAGCAGCTGGACAGGCTTGGCCGGCTGGACTCAGACCAGCCAGCTCTTTTGGCAGCAACAACAGCAATAACAGCAACTGCATGCCAATGTGATTGCATAATGCTCTCAAGCACAAAGATGAGCAGCTTTATTTTGCTGTGCTGTGCTGTGCTACATGCCAAACTGGTTAGCTTTAATTAAATATTGTGCAAGTGATTGCCGCGATCAGAGCATTGCCAGTTGCCAGTTGCCAGTTGCCAGCTGCCAGAAGCGTAAGTATGCCAGTTAATAGGGCGTCGTCATCGTCATTTGGACGATAAAGAAAGTTGTTGGCAATGCGCAAAAACAAAATGAAAATGCCGCTCTGCGCTGCATGTGTGAGTGAAAGCCGTTGCTTCGTTGCCAAAGGGAATTTGTACACCAATGCCAATTGATGGACAGGCGATCTCAAGTGATATATATATATATATATCAATTGGGAGTAGGGTTCGAAGCCGATGTAGTTGAAGCCGGCTCATGGAATTCGAATCGAAACGAAACAAAAGGAAACGAAACCGTTGAAGGTCAGTTTGCTCACTGCGAGCTGGGTAAAAGTGTATGTAAAAGTCTTTTAAGTAGGTCATTTATGCCATTGATTTCAACTGACCTACTTTAAATGTAGTTTATTGTTGTTGGTATTTGGTTTTGTTTGAAATGTTAGACATGAAACATTTTAGGGAAGACAAATGCTTGCAAGCCAAATAAATCAAGTAGAAAGCTTAAAGGTCAAATAAACGAAAAGCAAATGCGCTTTTGGCGTCTTTGCAACGCAATGCGAGCAATGCCTGCCACATGCAGCCGCAACTGTCACGTGTTTTAGCTTGGAGTATTTTATGACTTGGCAATTGATATTTTGAGTGGTTCACACACACACACACACACACACACGGACACTCGTGGTCTGTCCAAGTCTTTTGACATGGCCCACATTATAGTACGGATGTTAATAATCTTTACATTTGGCCCGATTGCTTTGGTAATAATTTCGATTTCTCACGGTAACACAAATTTGCTTAACTTGTTGGCTTTATTTTATATTTTGTTGATTTTTGAACTGTCTAAGCTTGGCTTAACCCACAATTTAGCATGTGATTAAAGCTGCCAAGAGCCATTACAATTATGAAACTAGTGGCAAGACAGTTGCACATGTAACAAACTGAATTGCTGCCAAATTCGTGGACTCGTTTATTGCTGACTCTTCATATTGCCTGGAATATCTTTCATTTGCGTGTGGGTTATGTTTTTGTGTGTGGTTTGCGAAACGTTTTACAAATTCAGCGATTTTTAACCATTTTTTCTTATCACAAATCTTTCACTTTTCTATCCAAGTAAAAATATAAATTGTAAATATTTGAACCCAAATCGTTGTTAATGTTTTACGCAAATGTGCCATGTAATAAATATATTTTGTATATAGATGTATACGTTTAGCGTTTTTTCTTGATCTCAAATTGATTATTGCGGGATATTGGATAGAATTGTTCAGTTTGAACCCAGAATACTAAGGCTTGTGTGTATATGTATAGGTTTTGTGTGTTTGGTGTTTTGAATTTGGATATTTTACTATTTATCTACATAAGATTTGTGTTGTTGTTGTTGGTTTTTTTTTTATACAAAATAATGTGGTTTGTTTTTGAGTTTATTTAGGTTTATTTTTGTGCATAAATATTTTACAACTAAAACTAATTGCAATAAACTTAAAGTAATTCAAAAAAGAGAAAAAAAAACGGGAGAGATATTTAAAAATCGTATTGTTGGAAGCAAATAATATTGATTGAAAAAAAAGATGGTGAATTAATTAAAAAAAAAAAATGAAGAAATTAAAGTTTATTTTATTAACCTTAACGCAGAGGGTCGTTAAAGTTTCGATTGAACCAATTGGAAAAGTCTTTGCATTTTCATTACTGCGTGTGATTGTGTGGGATTGTATGTAGCATATGTGTGTGTGTGTGTGTGTGTGTGTGTATGTATGTGTGTAAGTATATGTGTATGTATTATATTGTTATTATGTATGGCAGCTTGAAGAATACGAATTTTTTGATAGTGTGTTCAAAAAGCAGCACAAAAAGCAGCAGTTTTTTTGGGTTTTCTTTTTTTTGTTCTTTGTTTTCGTTTGCAAATCGAGAAGTTCGACTAAAATTTTGGACAATTATTGTATTGAACGGGTATTATTGTTATTGCGCAGCAAAAGAATAGGAAAAAGGGTAATAAAAAATAGAATTTTCAATTTTTGAGTGACAAAGCCACGCAGCCAATTATTTACAGGGCGGCAATTAATATGTGTGTGTGTGTTAAACTTAATGCTTTTGTCTCTGTACAAAATATAAGACTAGAAATAACTAACTACATTTTTTTTGTTTGGCTGTGGTGCGTCATTTAAGGCGCCACTGTGATTGTTGTTGTCTCTGTTGTGATTGTTGTTGTCTCTGTTGTTGGGGCTGTTGTTGTTGGGGCTGTTGTTGTAGTTGTTGTATTTGTGTTGCGCTGACGGTGACGCAGTCGACGGCCACGCCCACGTCGCGCCTTTTTACGATGCACCACATGCGTTTCGGTGCTGTAGCTGATTTTCTCGCTAATGCTGCTACTACTGTTTGTAAGTGTGTTTCCTGTTTGCTGTGTTTGGCTAATAGTGTTAATATTTGTGTTGTTGTTGTTGTTGGTGTTGGTGTTGTTGCTGCCACTAATAGAGCTTTGTGTTAGGAGTGTTGTTGTTGTTGTTGTTGTTGCTCTTTGAATGATTGGCTTATCGGGCCCGTTCGACAGCTGATTATTGGTCGGTGCGTGCAACACGGACACATGTTGCACAGAGAACGCCGAATTCGAGTCTGCGGGGGCCATATCATTTGCTTCGGTTGTGCTGCTTTCCGTGGCATCTGACTCGGACTCGGCAGCGGACTCTGCTTGCACCTTGCTTAGAATGACCTTGTCGAGATTGGCTATCGAGATGATTAGGGGTGAGGATTCATTGGATTCGGGACGAAGTAGGGGTACAATGGGTCTTACGTATGTCGCTGGCAGTGCAGCAGCAGCAGCAGCTGTTGTTGTTGCTGTTGTTGTTGTTGTTGATGTTGTTGTTGTTGTTGTTGGTGGTGGCACAGTGCTATTAATTGTATCCAGCTGCATCTCTTGGAGTTGCTCGGTGCTGGTTTCCAAACTGCCAATGCTATTCACGCTCAGCTGCTTGGCCTTGCGCGACGAGTCAAACAAACCCTCGAGCGAAATCGTTGATGTTTCGACGGCACTACGTATTACCTCGGGTATCAACGATTTACCGTTGCGATCCAAATTTGAGTCAGCATCATCTTCAGTTTGGGGCAGACTGTTGCGGTAGGGAGCCGAACTGAGTATGGGCGACGGCACGTTGGGTTCGGTGGGCGTGTAATCGGCAACGGTGCTGTGGCCATCATTGATTTGAATGTCACTGCCATCGACTAGATGGACATATTTCACTACGCTAATCTCGCCCAGCTGCTCGACATGGGGCAGCGACTCAACGCGCAATGTGCCAAAGTCCTGATTGGCCTTGGACTTGCGTTGGGCGGCCTTGGCCTGTTTCGAGTTGATCTCAACAATGCGATTGATTTCGATCAGCTTATGCTTGGGCTCTATAGCGGTGGTCTTGCTGCCCAACGGCCGTCCCGTTGGCTCCTGTTCATCATCCGTCTCACCATCGAGCAGGGTGAATACGTGGAGCAGTGTCGTCGCTGGTGGCGGTGATGGCGTTGTTGCTGTCGTTGCTGTCGATGACAACAACGATGTTGCTTGATCCTGTGGGAGTGAAGAGATATTGGTGGCTTCATTAGCATTGTTAGCATGGTACACATGTTGTGGCGGTTGTGCGTTTTCGTTTACGGTATAAGTTTCAGTGTTCATGGTGTCTGTTGACAGTGTTGTGCTTATTGGAATTGTTGTTGTTATTGGTGTGCTTGGTGTGGTTGTCACATAGCCCTGCCTCTGCTGATCGTAGGACTCCTCGGTCGTATCCGTCTCTACGATCGTATCAGTATCTAGCTCGGCCCCCGGCCTGACAACCTTTGGCTTGAGGGTCGTATGCTTCTTGCTGTTTATGTCAAAGATCTTTTTGTTTCGTGCATTGAGCGCATCAATATTGAGATCCTCAATCAGAGAATTTTCGCTGGCCGTCTCGGCCGCCTCCGTTGATGGACCCGTATATTTGCGCTCGTAACTGCGATTGCTGTTTGGTATGAACGGTGCCGGTTTCAGCGGTGTCAACGGTGTCGTTCGCTCATAATTATTTGCCACTGGGCGCAACGGTAAATTCGGCGTTGGCACACCCGGTGGACGATTTACCACACGGGAACGACTACTGCCACCGCCAAAGCGGCTGCTTGACGTCGATTGGAACGAGGAGGTGGTACCACCGTTTGAACTGGAATTGGGCTGGCGATTGCGTGGATTAAATGGTACATTGCCACCATTGGCGGTGGGTGCAAAGTTGGGTCGACTGCCAGGTGGGGCACGATTATCCTTGCCCCGATAGGTGGATGACTGTGTATTGGGCTTGGGTGTATTTCCTTGGTCTTCGCCTTGTTGCTTGGATGGCTCTTCTTGCTTCTCATCATTATTATCTTCATCTTCATCGTTACCATTATCATCCTCATCATCTTCATCATCTTCTTCATCTTCTTCACTGCCTTCATCCTGATTCTTAGCGGGCTGTGGCGGTTTGGGTTTGGGTATAAAAGGTCTTCTTACCGCTCCCGCTTGATTGAAAAGCGGGCGAGCAGTAATCACTGGCTGTGGCTGCTCCTGCTGTTCCTCATAATCCTCATCGTCATCATTTTCGTCTTCGTCCTGCCCCTGCTCATTTTGCTGCTGGAAACGGTCGGCACCCGGCAAGCGTGCACCTCGTGGATCGCTACGCACAAAGCCCTCGCCTCGGTTACGCACACTAGAGTTGAAGGGATCGAAACGTCCATTCTTGCGACGCACAAACTTGGCCGTTGGCCGTTTGGTGCTAAAGACTAGGGCCGGTTTTGTGGGTAAGCTTGCAGTTGCCGAGGGGGCATAAGGCCGCTTGGCAATTAGCTTGCGTCGGAAGAACGGACGTGGCGATGAAGACACCACTGTTGTACCACCGCTCGAGGGCTTATCATCATCATCATCATCATTATCATCATCATCATTCTTAGTGCGTGTGGTAGTGACTTTCTCGGCCAATAGCTTCTTGAGACGATCATTGATGACACCCTGTTCACCGTTGCCTCTTGCTTGGTCTGCCTTGACTTTATTGCGCAATCGCTGCAACTCTGAGTTGTCGTCTCTTTCACTCGTCTCATTGGTGGTGCCACCACCCTGCAGTCGACTGTTGATGACGCCATCTGTGGGCTCGCCACGCGACTGCTGACTCTTGAGACGATTACGCAGAGCCTGTAGGTCAACAGGTCTGCGCGTTTGTTGTTGCTGCGGCTCCCGCTCAACATCATTATTTGTCTCGAGATCGGATTTCTGGTCCTGATCATTATTCGATTCTGCTGATGTTGCTGCTGTTGCTGCTACTGCTGATCCACCGAAACGTGTGCGACTCGGCTTAAATGGTGTACGGATGGTTGTTGTTGTTTCACCATTCTCCCCACTGCTCAGTTCCTCTTCCTTTTCCGGACTCGTGGACTCAGTGCTTGTCGCAACGGGCCGCAATTTGCGTACAATTTTACGGAAACGTTTTATGGGATTGGGGGTGTTGTTAGTAGTGTTTGTGTTGTTGCTGTTGCTGTTACTAATGCTGTTCTCATTCGCAGTGTTAGTTGTATTTGTGTTGCTGTCTGCTGTGCTATTGCTACTAATATCAATAGTTGACTGGAGTGGCCGTCGATATTTGAGTACGCGTATGCGTTTAAGTGTTGGTTTAATTGTCGCTGTTGTTGCTGGAGTTGTTGTCGGTGTAGTTGCTGTTGTTGTTGTTGTTGTCGTCTCATCATCATCATCTTCATCAGCATCTTCATCTTCAGCATCACTTTGATCATCTGTTTCTTCAGCCGACTGGCCATCGACTCTGACTAGTTTAGTTACCTGTGCGCGATTTCTGGAGCCAAAGTTGAAGCGACGAGTGCTTGCCGCTCTTGTTGTTGTTGTTGTTGGTGTTGTTGCTGTTGCTGTGGTTCTCTCTGTTGTTCTTGATGTGGTGGTGCTGCCTCTTGTGCGACTCAATTGAAAACGATTCTGAAAACGTCGTTTAGAATTAACGTCATTACCTAGGTCATTTACAACACGCTCGGGTGCCCCACTCTCATCATCATTATCATCATCGTTATCATTATCATTAACATTAACATTATTATAATCATTCTTATCCTTCTCCTCAATATCAATATCTGCCTCTAGACTATCATCATCTTGTGTATCATCATTATTATTAGCATTAACAGTGACTGTGACTTGTTTATGTTTATTGTTTGTGTAAATGTATTGTTTTTCGATTTTGATGTTTTCGTTGCTGTTGTTCTTGTTTGTATTGTTAGCATTAGAAAACTTAAAACGATTATTTATATAATTGGCTACGGTGCTGTTACTACGACTACGATTACGTTGTGTGCCAAAATTACGACTAGCTACGTTAAGTGCAGTGCTCTGATTAGTATTATTGTGGTTGTTATTAATGTTAGTTTTTGATACCTCATCATCATTCAGAATGTCAGCGTCTGTGTCTGTTTCTGTGTCTGCGTCTGCGTCACTGATTTGTGTCCGGGTCTGGGTTATAGTTTGAGTCTTTGCTATTTGTGCATTACGCTGTCTACTGGCAAGTAACTGGCTACGAATTGAGCTGGGAGTTGTACTGCTTCTTGGCCTCTGTTCAACGGCCTCCTCATACTCATCATCGTCATTATCCGCATTTTCATCCGCGTCCTCATCGTCATCCTCATTTTCATCGTCATCATCTTCATTCTCATCCGGCTGATTATCTTCATTGCGATTATATAGATTTCGATTCAATGTTACAAGACTACGTCGCGTACTGGAACTAAGTCTTATGGGCGCTGCTGTAGTTCGGCGCGCTCCAAATTTAGGTAGATTTCTCACTGTAGTGGATAATTGGCTTAAGCGTGCATCAAGTAGAGCCCGATGTCGGTTTGTTTGCAGAAATCCGCCTCGTGTTGTTAGACTATCATCAACATCTTCATCATCATCAATGCTCGCCTCGTTGTCGTCTTCGTTATCAGTGTCAGAATCACCTATTGACTCGGTGGTTGTTGTCGTTGTCTGTCCCCTCCGAGTCAGTGGCAAGCGAGTACGTGTGCGGCTCAAGGCCGCAAATGGTCGACGTGTGCTAATCTCGTCAGCGTTCGTTGCTCCCGGTGTTGTAACAACGGTTGCTGAGCTCTCTGTTGCGGTTCCATTGAAGCGGCGACGTGTTAAAAGTTGACGTCGCGCCGTGGGTCGTTTAGTGTACGTTCGTGTCGCTGATGTTGTAGATTCGATATCTCCGGCACCACGTATTTCCGCTGAGCTATCTGCATCTTCGCTGATCTCGTTGGCCTTGCTTGGACTTTCTGTTGTGGTGGTTATTGTTGTTGTATTGTACCGACGACGTACCAAACTCTGGCGTCGTGATGTAGGTCCACTTTGTGTTGTGGCAGAGCTATCCTCTTCTTCGGTGACACCTTTTGTTGCTGTTGCGGCTGTCGTTGTATTAAAGCGACGACGTATCAGAAGATTACGTCTAGATGTGGTTGTCTCTTCGGCACTTTTTACTACCTCCGAGTTATTTTCTTCCTCGTGTACTTCGTTGGATTTGTTTTGACTAGCTGATGTAGTGGTTAGTGTTCCATTGTACCGACGACGTATCAGAAGATTCCGCCTAGATGTAGTTGTTCCTTTGTCGCTTTCGTCATTCTTATCACTCGCTGTTGTGGTAGATACCAGAGCCGAATCGTCTTCTGTGGATCCGTTTGTGCTTTCGATAGCATCGCCAGCATTTTTCTCATCATCATCGATGTTTTCTGCACCATCCTTTTTCGTTGTGGTTGTACTCGTCGACGTAGCATTAAACCGACGGCGTATCAGAAGATTCCGTCTAGATGTGGTTGTCTCTTCGGCACTTTTTACTACCTCCGAGTTATTTTCTTCCTCGTGTACTTCGTTGGATTTGTTTTGACTAGCTGACGTGCTAGTTAGTGTTCCATTGTACCGACGACGGATCAGAAGAGTACGCCTGGGTGTGCTGGTTTCTATACCGCTATCTCCAGAATTCGTTTTTACTGCAGAGCTATCGTCATCCTTATCACTCGCTGTTGTGGTGGATTCCAGGACAGGACGTTGTGACGTTTCTTCACTATTGTCTTCTGTGGATGTGGTTGTGCTTTCGATAGCATCACCAGAACTTTTATCATCATCATCGTCATCTTCAACACCAACCTTTGTCGTTGTTGTTGAACTCGCTGTCGTGGCATTAAAGCGCCTTCGTATCAGAACATTGCCTTTAGATCTGATTGGTTCATCTGTAGTTGGGTCACCATCTTCAGAGCTACTGATCGTGCTTGAGCTATCTTCATCCTCGTGGATGTCGTTTGATTGATTTTGACTCGCTGTTGTGGTGGATGTTGTTGCATTATATCGACGGCGCACCAGAATCTGGCGTCGTGGAATTGGTTCGCTGCTGTCTTTTTTCGCTGTGGATGTAGATTCGCTACTTTCGTTCAAGTTTTGCTCATCGTCCTTAGCTTCTTTGTCTATATCAGCAGTTTCTGTGGTAGAAGCGCCTATCGTTGCATTGAAGCGTCTGCGTACAAAAAGTTTTGGATTAGGTGTAAGAGTTGTTCCTTTTGATGCACTTGTGGAATCGATATCTCCAGGACTACCAGCTGTGCTTGAGATCTCCTCTGCTTCATTGGTGACCTCATTGTCGACGCTGCCTTGCTCTGTTGTTTCAGTGCGCGTTCCTGCATTAAATCGGTTCCGTATCAAAAGTTGGCGTCGTGCTGCGAGCTTATCAGTCGTTTTTGCTGTGGTCGTGGACTCCTGAACATTTGGGCTACTGGTAACATCATCAGCTTGATCTATGTCGTTGTCTCCGTTATGTGCTGTTGTAGTGGTTGTTCTTGTTCCATTAAAACGGCGACGTATCAAAAGTTGACGACGACTAGTTTGTTCTGTGGTAGGGCTGGATTCGGTAGTTACACCCTCGCTTTGGCCTACTTCGTTTTCATCGGCCAATTCAGCAAGAAGTTCATCGAGATCTTCATTTAGATCATCACTTGCATCGGCAAGGTTAATTGGATCGGCATCACGATTTGCTGGTCTCACTGGCACTCTTCGATTGATGCCAAAATATGGACGAACCGTGGAGCGTGCTCTCGTGCGGCTTGTGCTGCTTTCCGGGCTTGACGTGGTTGGTGTTGTCTTGTCCCCGCCTCTGCCACGAAAACGTTGAGAAACAACTCTTTTGGTTGTTGTCTCTAGTAGCTGTTGCTCTTCCTCAGGGTCTGCAGTTGTGGTTGTTATCCTGGTGCCAATTCTGCCACGAAAGCGTTGAGATGAACTATAGGCAGATCTTTGGGTGGTTGCATCTAGCAGCTGTTGCTCGTCCTCAGGGTGTGCAGTTGTGGTTGTTATCCTGGTGCCAATTCTGCCACGAAAGCGTTGAGATGAACTATAGGCAGATCTTGGGGTGGTTGTCTCTAACAGCTGTTGCTCCTCCTCTTGTTCGATTACTTTAATTGTTGGCTGTAAACGCGTCCGATTTAATTGAGAATAAGTACGCAACGCACGAGCATCTTCCGCAACGCGCTGTGCATCGTCTAAAATGGAGACCTGTATCAGATTTCGTAAGGTTTCATTTCTGCTTGTCGTCGGTGATACCGTGGTCTTGAAAGTTTTGCCTTGCCGGCTTGAATTTTCTTCCAAGTCATCGATATCTGCTGTCAACTCATTATCATCATAACTGTCATCATCAGCCGCAGTGGTAGTTTTGGTTATCAGCTCAGGTGATCCGATCAATTTTGCCCCCGGGTGACCTACGCTGACCCGGGGGTTTTCAATAAAAAATGACTTAATTCGGAATTGATTTCACGTGCCTGTTCCATAGCCAAACGACGCTCCTCATCCAGTCTATGGGCATCGTTCTCCGTCTCCTCTAACGAATTGCTTGGCGTCCCATTGTCACTAACATTGAAGACATCATGGATTTGTTGCTGTATGTCTACAGAAACGCGCTTACCATCTTCTGACGAAGCTGCAGTCTTATCAATGTATGTTATCGGAGAATCCTTGACGTATTGATAATATTTGCGACGATGATATATGGGCAACGAGAGATGCTCATCTGAGTTAGCTTGCGTAGATCTTGACGTTGTTTCCCCTGTGGCAACATCTTCGCTATTGTCTTTAAGGAAATTCACTGCATTTGCAAACTGACGTTTCAAATCCTGCAAGTCATCTTCTTTAATAATTTCTGCAGGCTTTGCTGTCGTTGTTGTTGTGGTAGTAGTTGGTGTTGTGGTTGTTGTAGGAGTAGTGCTTGTTCTTAGACGCTTGATAAAGTTTCGCTTAACAGCTGGCTGCTGTGTCACTGTGGTTGACTCTTCTTCTGGCTCTGCTGTCGTTGTTGGAACAGTTGTTGTTTTTATGGGTCGCTTAAAGGTTAGCACACGTCTGGTTGTCGCTTCATTGTCTGAAGTTGTTGTCGTAGCTGGCGCCGTGGTTGTCGTAGATGGCGTCGTGGTTGTCGTGGTTGTTGTTGTTGGCCGTTTGAATGCCAGACCTATACGACGAGTAGTTGCTTCATTCTCAATAATATCAGATTGTTTTTCAGTTGTCGTCCTTTCAGTTGTTGTCGTTGTTGTCCTTGGCCTAGTGGGTCTTGTGCGTACTGGCCGCCTTGTTGTTGTTTCCGTAGTTTCCGTATTGTCTAAGTCATTCTCATTGGCTTGGTATACAAACTCCTCGACATCTTCGTGCTCGATGGTTTCCTTGGGCTTTTTCAACAGGCGTCTGCGTATCGTCTTTGTCTCACTTGATGGCGTTTGCTTGGTGCGCTGTCCACGCGTCGAAAAGTCCAATGCTAGTAATGAGGATAAATCATTGCTACGGAACCTCACGGAACCACGATTGCGTGTGATGATGCGTGGTGTAGTAGTGACCTCCGGCTGAGTAATCTTATCATAGACATACTCATACTCGGCCGGTTTTTCTTCCACGGTCTTGGTGTGCACACGCTTCACTACTTTGCCACTATCAATTGTACGCACATAAGTGGTGCGAGTGCGTGTAATACCGTTGCCCAGGGATTCGGTGTGGCTGGTGGTGCGATTGCGCACTGCCCCAAGTTGAGAGCGGCTATTAAACTTCGATTGCGTTGATTTCTCATCGTCCTTTACTTCTTCTGGCGTACTACTTTCGATCTCTTCACTCTGTTGCACGGAGGATGTCTTGTCAGTTTCTTCTTCCTTCTCCTGCGACGTTTCGTGTTGATTTACTGCTTGCTGGGAGATTGTCCGATGCCGGTGTTGGTCGTGTTTGTATTTTACTTGCTTATTTGCATCCGTTGCCAGGAGCGAAGAGAGATCGCCCTGGTTACGTGGTCGGTAGCTACCTCGGACAATTACCCGGCGTCTTGGAATTTTCGTCGTGGTTTCACTGACATCTGCAACATCTGCCTCATCATCGGCTTGTGTTGGGCTTGCTGTAGTTGTTGTTGTGGTTGTTGTTCTAGCAGTGGTGCTGCTACGTCTTCTACTAGAGAGTGATCGTCGGGTGCTGCTAATTGGCGCTGCAGTGGTTGTTGTTGATGTGGTTGTTGGCACTGTACTCTCCGTACTTGTTGACGTTCTGCTGCGGAACAAAGAGTGGCGTGGATACTGTTGAGTTGTTGTACTGTTAAGCTTCTCAATGGAGCGCTCAGTGGTTATTGTCAAAGTGTTTGAGGCATTTTGTTGTTCGATGGTCGAGGTGCTACTGCTTTCAAGAACAGATCTGGTTGTAGTTTCAGGAATCTCAGCCATTACATCAGCTGTGGTTGTTATCGTGGAACTGCTTGTTGGCAACTCCGCGGCTTTATCAACATTGGTTGGGATAGTGGTAAACTCTGATATTTCTTCATCATTAGTGGCATGATTTTCTTGCATAGATGGAATTTCAGTGACCGTTATCTCTTCTCTTGAGTCCTGTTCAGTTGCTGTATTGCTATCGTCAGGTATATCATTTGAAGCTGGAGCTCTAGTCTTGCCACGAGCCACTATCGGTGGCTCATCATCAATTATCTCCGCTGCAATATTCTCATCCTCAATAGCAATCGTCGTTGTCTCCACAATGCGACCACCTCGCGCTACGGGTTGCTGAATGTTCTTTGATTGGTTAGATTCGCCAGGGTTGCGTATGAAACCGGAGCTGCGACCTTCGCTCAGATGGGCGCCTGTATTGTCGCGAGTTATGGCATTGTAGTGTATCTGTTCATCGGCACCACTGCGACTAGAAGCACGACTAATGCTTTGGTAGTTACGTTTGCCAGTTGATCCATTGGATGCTACATCGGATTCAATCTTTGAATTTGTTTGACTAGAAGTTCGTCCTATATGTTTCCTACCGGATTCAGCAGTTGTTGACTCTACGTCTGCAGTAGCAGCAGCTAATTTTTTATTAACGAGATCCTCTTGGACCCGACTAGAAGTACGACTAATGCTTTGGTAGTTACGCTTGCCAGTTGATCCGGTTAATGTCAGTTCGGACTCAACCTTTGAAATGGCTTGATCGGATTCAGCGGATGATGACTCTACGTCTGCAGTAGCAGTACTATCATGCTTTGATGTTTTGTTAATGAGTTCCTCTTCGATCCCACCAGACGTACGACTAATGCTGTGATAGTTACGTTTGCTAGTTGATCCATTGGATGCTACATCGGATTCAATCTTTGAATTTGTTTGACTAGAAGTACGTCCTATTTGTTTCCTACCGGATTCAGCAGTTGTCGACTCTACGTCTGCTGTAGCAGTAGTTGATGTTTTGTTAATGAGTTCCTCTTTAAACCCACCAGAAGTACGACTAATGCTTTGGTAGTTACGCTTGCCAGTTGATCCGGTTGATTTCAGGTCGGATTCAACCTTTGAATTGGCTTGATCGGATTCAGCAGTTGTTGACTCTACGTCTGCAGTAGTGGTAGCTGATGCTTTGTTAATGAGTTCCTCTTCGATCCCACCAGAAGTACGACTAATGCTTTGGTAGTTACGCTTGCCAGTTGATCCGGTTGATTTCAGGTCGGATTCAACCTTTGAATTGGCTTGATCGGATTCAGCAGTTGTTGACTCTACGTCTGCAGTAGCAGCAGCTAAAGTTGTATTATCGAGATCCTCTTGGACCCGACTAGAAGTACGACTAATGCTTTGGTAGTTACGCTTGCCAGTTGATCCGGTTGATGTCAGTTCGGATTCAACTTTTGAATTGGTTTGATCGGATTCAGCAGTTGTAGACTCTACGTCTGCAGTAGCAGCAGCTAAAGTTGTATTATCGAGATCCTCTTGGACCCGACTAGAAGTACGACTAATGCTTTGGTAGTTACGCTTGCCAGTTGATCCGGTTGATGTCAGTTCGGATTCAACTTTTGAATTGGTTTGATCGGATTCAGCAGTTGTAGACTCTACGTCTGCAGTAGCAGCAGCTAAAGTTGTATTATCGAGATCCTCTTGGACCCGACTAGAAGTACGACTAATGCTTTGGTAGTGACGCTTGCCAGTTGATCCGGTTGATGTCAGTTCGGATTCAACCTTTGAATTGGCTTGATCGGATTCAGCAGTTGTTGACTCTACGTCTGCTGTAGCAGTAGCTGATGCTTTGTTGATGAGTTCCTCTTCGATCCCACCAGAAGTACGACTAATGCTTTGGTAGTTACGCTTGCCAGTCGATCCGGTTGATGTCAGTTCGGATTCAACCTTTGAATTGGCTTGATCGGATTCAGCAGTTGTTGACTCTACTTCTGCAGTAGCAGTACTATGATGCTTTGATGTTTTGTTAATGAGTTCCTCTTCGATCCCACCAGAAGTACGACTAATACTGTGGTAGTTACGTTTGCCAGTTGATCCGGTTGATGTCAGTACGGATTCAACTTTTGAATTGGCTTGATCGGATTCAGCGGTTTTTGACCCTACGTGTGCAGTAGCAACTCCTAACCGACTAGAAATACGATTGATGCTGCGATGACCGCCTATTGATATTATCGGCGCGCTGATCGTTGTTGTTTCGATCTCCTCATCTAAATCAGATTCCTGCTCCGTTGAGGTTAGATGGCGACTCCGATAATTAAGCTCACCGCCGTTGACCGCCAGTCGCTTGCCAGCATACCTACGTGAGTCTTTGTTGTCCTTGGTATCGAGAGAATTGGGTGCTTTGGCTGCCGTACCCTCTGAAAATCGCGAAGGTAGACGCGCGTCGCGCCACGTATATTTAATTTTGTTCTTGCTTTTGTTGTTTTGATCGTCATCTTTAGTAGTACTTAAATTAATGGTGCTAACTACGTCATGCCTTAAGATATTGCTACCATTACCATTAGCTACGTCTAAGTCAGCTACATTGTGTGTGCGTGTTGCGTTTGTTGCTGTTGTTGTTGCTTTTAATTGGGGTGTTGTTGTTGGTTGCTTGGTGCTGGTGCTAGGGTCCAACAACAACTCTTGACTAGTTTTGGCACTCACCTTGGGCCTATCCAATTTGGATAGACGAATTTTGCCTATGCTCGCAATGTCATCGTTTTGTGTTTTGTTTACTTTATCGTTATTGTTATCGTTATCATTATTGTTATCGTTATTGTTAACAGTGCTGGTTGCTGTTGTGGTAGGTTGTTGTTTAGTGGGTCGTGTTCGACGTCTGGGATAACCAAAGGGTCTTGGACTAGAAATGCTGCTAGTTGGGCTTACAGGTAGTTCGGTTGTAGTCAGTTCAGGTTGTTGTTGTTGTTGGGTTCTTTGTGGTTGCCTTCGACCAGAATAGGTGTTTCTAATGCTAGTTACAGTACCGTTAGAGTTACCATCAACATTGGGACTAGCTTCATTGTTGACTGCATCTGCACTGTTCTTGTTGTCGCTGTTTACACGTCGACGAATTGTGGCGTACTTCGATTGTGTCTTAATTGTTGTTACCTTATTTGTATCAATATTGTATCTTATCTTGTCATCGTCATCGTTGTCATCGTCTTCGTCATTGTTGTCATCGTTATCGTTGTCAATGCTGTTGTGTTTGCTATTAGCTGTTGTTCTTGTTCTTGCCAGTTCAGACTCCGTTGTCGTTATTGTGGTCGTCGATGTCGTTGTTGTGGGTGCAACTTGTGCCAGGTTGTTAATCTTTAAATCAAGGGTGGGGATCAGGGATGCATCGCTTGGCGGCATTGTTGTAAATTGTGGCTCTAACATATTGTTAATGCCATCAGCCAGGCTCAAGGCGTCGATGCCAGTTGTTGGTGTTTGGATAGTGGTTGGTGTTTGGATAGTGGATGCTGCAGTTGGTGTGGGTGTGGTTGTGGTTGTGGATGTGGGTGTGGGTGAGGTAGGTGTGGTTGTGGTGGTTTGGATGTTAGTATTGCTCGTTGTGAGCGGTATGCTAGTGCTTTCAATTGGTTCAGTGGTTTCGTTAGTGATTGTTGTATCTGGTTGTGGTTGGGTGGTGGTAGAGGTGATTGGTGCTGCTGTGGTTGCTAGTACGTTATTAGTTTTCACACTGTTGCTGCTGTTGTTGTTGTTGTTGTTGGTGGTGGTGGTGCTCGCCTTGGCAGTCTCAGTGCCGGTGACTGTTGTTGTGGTTGTTGTTTCTGGTGTTGTTTCTGGTGTTGTTGTTGTGGTTCTGCGGCCAATGCTCGCGTATTTACGTGTATTTGTTGTGGTTGTTGCTGTGCTGCTTTGATTTCTTTGTACCGTTACATTTTTATGTTGTGGCTCATCTTCATATTCCTCGTCATCCTCATCAGCATCCTCGATATCGACACTAGCTGCGCCGCTGCTCTTTGTGGGTCTCGTCCGTTCAAGGTATTTGTAGCTACACAAACAGAAAGAGAAAGAGAGAGAGAGAGAAGTGTGTGAGTAGGCATGCAAATGTCGCATCCAAATTATCTACAATCACTTTAAGTATATATAGATTCTTGATCAGCATTATAGACATGTCCGTCTGTCTTATCTTAATGGAACTCTAAATATATATCCGACTTTCTGGCAGTTCATATGTAAGATTTGAACGGGTCACACCACTATCTCAATAAAAGTTGAATTCTTGTCTGAAAAACTTGTTACCAAAGCAAACTGACTAGTTGTGAATATTATTCCGCTCCCTACATTTTGGAGTCATAGTCGAAATTGGATTTATATGTAATATAGTTTCCATAGAACAAATTGGTCGGTTTTTTAAATTTATAATGAAATTCAGATGTGAGCAAGTGGACTCTGTCTTGGAAGGGTATGTAATCTTCGATGTGGCTAACTTCTTGTTCATTCTTACCGATTCGTTGTCGAGCTAACTAATACGCCAGCTGTGTCCGAAGCAGTGCTTTCTGGACGCTCCGTGGTGCGACCACGTGTACGGCTCAGTGTAGCGTAGTGCTTCGTCTGTGTCTGCTCCTTGATAGCAACAGGTGCGACCTGTTCCTCCTCCAGCTCAGTCACCGATTCGATAGGCACTGGTGATGTTGTTGTGGGCCTGGAGCGCCTTAGACTTGTGTACGATGGCGTTGCAGAGCTAAACGGACGCCTGGTTGTTTCTGCCGATTGCTGTTTGGGCTGAGATGGTTCCTCTCTCTCATCGATATCATCGTCGGAGTTGTTGTCGGTTGCCTTGTCATCGCGTGTGGCGGTGCCACGATTGCGATTAATGGTCACATATTGTTTGCGCTCCTTGAGGAAACCATCGAATTCGGCCAGCTGCTCCAGTCCCTCGTTTTGCGGTCCTTGACGACTGTTGCCACGCAGCACAGATGAGTATTTAGAACTGTTGATCTGCGAGCTGCTCTCGTCCGTAGTGCTGCCCGACTCAGCCGTTCCGCTGGACTGTATCTTAAACGTATTAAAGCGATTGCGTGTAAATGTGCCCAATGTTCCCGGTCGACTCAGAACCCTGTCATACAGGGACTTGCTGATGGTTGAGGGCGTTGTCTGTACACCGCTAGCCGAGTTCTCTTTGAGCGTTATGGTACCATCTTTGTTACGCAGCAAATGCTTCTCCAGCTGCTCAACGCCACCGACCTTGCGTATTAGATCAATTAGTTCCTTGATGACCTGAGGATCCTCCTCAGCATCGCTGCCTAGCTTGCCCAAATTTGGTGAATCATTGCCATCCTCTTCGTATTCAAGCACCTCTTCTTCTGCTGGTGTCGTGGTTCTTGCTGTCGTAGTGGTTGTGCTGGTGGTGCTCGTGAATCGTGGATAGACCGGACGAGCCACAGGCGCTGCAGTAACACGATTGTAGCTACTCGTGGGTCGTGCTGTTGTTGTCGTTGTGCTTGTCGAGCTTACGGGCGGCGTGGTTGTCGATCTGTGTGCGAGCAGTTAATAAATTAATCATAAGACATTTTAATGAGCTTAACAATTTTCTGATGATAATTAATCATGCACCAAAATTACTTTGATTCTACCCCATTTACCATCCCTATTGTGGATTTCAAATAATAATGCTGTCATTATAGATTTTTATACTCTGATACCGAAGGTACAAGAGTATTTATACTTCTATATGTAGATATCAGACGCAAGTCACTTACTTCTTGGTCTTGCATGGCACATTGCGAGCAAAGTCGCAAGAGTCGGCAGCGGGATTGAAGTATAGACCAGATGGGCAAGTAAATTGATGGGCTACAATGCCCAGTCCGGATGGACCACTATCCAAACACCAGTAGTACTTCTTGCAGTCGCGAGGATGCTGGAAAAAGCCCTCTTCCTCGCACTTGAAATCAGAGCCAGGATCAGGCGTTGTTGGTGGCGGTGGTGTTGTCGACCCACGTCCACCAATATACAGCGATTGTCCCTCGACCTCGGTCAATCTAATTGTGGTGCTTGGCCCTGCTGTTGTTGTACTGCTGCTTGACGGTCTTCGACCTGCGCTGGGTCGTCTTGGGGATGCCTCCGGCTTGGAGCTTACACGATTTCTGTTGCTGTTGCCTTCATTGTCACGACTTCTCGAACGCGATGGTTTCTGTGGCGCACTTGGCTTAGCCACCTCATTGATGCCCAGACTGCGACAGATAGATGGAGATGCATAGAGAAGGAAATGTTTAGTTAAGAATTGGGTAATGAAAGTAATTTTCTTATGATAGGTTAAGACTTGCTCATAAATAATATAATTAATTACTTATAGCACATCAAATATTGGATTAAACTAAAGTATTTTCCAATTATTCAACTCACCCGTATGCATCCAGCATGGCCTCCTTGGCCGCCTCAATTAATGGATACGGTTTACCGCTGCATGTGCCTCGGAAATCATCGTTGTCAATGGCCCAGAACATAATACCACCCAGTCCATGGGCGACAACATATTCGGCTTTCTTGCGCACAATGGCTTCATCGTCGTAACCAACCCACTGATTGCGTCTATAGGCATAGGGACCCATGATATTGGCATTAGGCTGTACGACCGTCCACTCGGGATCATCCTTAAGTGTTTGACAAATCTAAATAATGCACAAAATACATAATTAGTGTGGTTGATTAGCATACAAATGTAGATATGATTAAATTACCTCATAGTAAGCCAAGTAGCCCTTCTCTCTGGTGGCGTCACCCTGTTCGCCCGGTCCCTCGGATGGTGCCCCGAGTTCAGTGCTTTCTTCGTTAATGAGTGTGTAGGAACGACCGTATGTGGGTATGCCCAATACCAACTTGTCGCGATCGGCACCAGCCTTCAGATAATATTTGATTGAATAGTCCTGTTGGGTAAAAATAAATATATATCATAATCTGTATGCAAAGAGACAGAGTCACACTTACAATATTCAACTCAGCATCATAGTTATATTCGGAATCATCCTCCAGCGAGTAAAGGGGCGCATGATGATTTACGGATGGCTCATGTGACGAATGGAAATCATAGGTCAACACATTAAACCAATCCAAATACTTGTTCAGCTTGGGCACATCGTAACCCTTGTCGATATACTCAATGCCAGCGGGCACGGCCATAGTCAACAGCAATCTTGTACGTCCGGTTTTCTCCGCTTCGCGCTCAAACTCCGCCCTCAACTCCTGAACAAATTGAGCATAGTTGTCGCGATCACGCGACTTGCCGCCCTCACGATGTGCTGGGTATTCCCAATCCAAATCGATGCCATCGAAATGATTCTGGCGCAGGAACTTCAATATATTCTTAATGAAATGCTGACGCCGGTCACTACTGGCAACCAGCGGTGAGAAGCGTGAAGAGGCCTCGTTCCAGCCGCCAATGGCAATCATCGTTTTCAGCTGCTTGTTGTACGTTTTGAGGCCAGTGAATTTAGCATAGCCACCTGCGGAAGTTCATCATGAGAAATAGGAGATGTGAGATGTGAATGCAACAGCAAGGCGGAAATTAAAGTCAATTTGGGTTGCAAAATATTTGTGTTGTTGTTGTTTCTGTTTTGAGTGGCAATTGCTAATGGAATTTGGCATGTGGGTGTCTGGGGCGTGTCTAGCTTACCCTGCTCAATATCCTGATACTTGTCAAATGGCTTCATTTGATTATCCTTGGTAAATCCGCCGAATGCATACACCAAATGTGTACACAAATATGGATTTATATTTTGCGGATTAAATTTGGCTGTCCCCGGGCGATAAACACTCCAATTCGTGTAATAACAAACCACTCGACCCTCACTGCTGGCAACTGCAAATGTTAACATATATTCTCAGAGTACAGCAAAAAAAGAGATTTCTTCGATTGATAAACTCACCATTGATGCAATAAGCCAACGCGCAGAGAAGGAAGAGCGTTTGCCAGGCCGCTCCAGGCCGTAACTGTAACGGGAATAAAGGAAAAACAATAAACACATGTTATATATAACAAGTAACAGCCGGAAGTAAAAATGTAGTAAACGCTTATGAAAGTTTGACATAAGCTCAGCATTGACACAGTGACATCAATGGAATGGAATTAGATACACCAACAATTGTCACCACTACTACTAATACATCAACGTGACAATCCTCTGCCGTAACAAAAAGGTATCATTGAATCTATTGAATCACAACAAAATTCCCATGAAGGTCGACTGCGAATACGAACTGCAGCAGTCCATCACAAAAACTCGAAAAGCTGACAAACAAAAAAAAAAAGAAACAAAAACAAGTTACACAACCTCATGAATTTTATATGCAAATTCCATAATTTAATGAAATTCAACCAACAGCATTTTTGTAGTTTTTTTTTATAGTTGTATATGGTGAGAAGACGCAGAAGTTGTCGCTTTGGGCGCTGCCAATAAGGAAGCCACAAATACCGAGCACCAAACACCAGTTCCCAATGCCAATAATCACATTGTAGCATGTTGTTTTCGCTGCATTACATAAAGCCATATTTTTGGCAATTAGGGCAAATGCATGTGCGCAGATCGAAGCCTTTTCAAGTGACTCAGTTTCAAAAATATTTGTATTTTCCGCTCATTCGGATTAAGTCGAAATTAACTATATATACACACACACACATATATATATATATATATATATATACATACATGTTATATATGTTTGCATATATGAGAAACGGATTTTTAAATCAAAACGCCAAAGTTTTGTAAGATTATAAAGAAACAACAACGCAAATAGCCCAAACTACACACACACACACTGACACATGTATATATATATATATCTCCCTTATACGCAGTCGGATTTTGGTCAGCAGCGTATAAAAAAAACGAAAAATTACATAAGCAAAACCAGACAACAACAACAAAAACTTGTAGCTTGTAGTTGCTTTGTGCGTGTATGTGAACCATGCCGGTTTTTGGCTTACACACGCACACACACACACACATACACGCACACACACTTACATATTCACTCATATGTCTTTCATTGATCGAAGCTAAACTAAACCTTAAAAAAAATGAAATATAAATATTTGTATTTTATGTTCGCCAAGTTAGTGTTTTCTTTCTTTTTTTTGCCAATTAAATCAGCAATAAAGATACGTTTTCTATTTCATTAATTACAGGGGATATACCAGGAAAATTTTTTTTCCCATATTTTTTTGAGACTTGCAATATTTGTTGTTAGATTGGTAAAAAGTATTATCTTACGATCAAATTGGCTTCAAAGTGAAAGTTCTTCTTAAATGGCCAAAACATTTCTCACAATTTAGCAATTATGCTGAGAAGCGTTAGAAATAGTATCAAGTCATGCACACACTTAAAGCGAATGCAATCCAACATTGTTGAATGTGAGTGAGTGCTTTTGCCTCGAACAGTGATTATGGACTCTAGTTAATTGATACGTGGAAATGTTGCCATGAAGACCCACAAATAAAAAAATAAAAAAGCAAATAAAAAAGCAAATAAAACAACAACAAACAAATATTTGTTTGGCTCAAACAATAAAATATACAAGCATCGGCAATACTTGAGCTACAAAAGCTTTCCCCTCAAGCCAAAATCCAAATCAAAAGCCGTAAGCCGTAAGCCATAAGTCAAAGTCGTATCCATATCCGGCACAAGTTGGAGTGTGCCATTTGCCGGGCACTTGTGGGACACAAGCGTTCTCTCGATTGCCTTAAGAGCGGGAAATGCATGTTGTGTTTGGTTTTTGCTTTTAATAGTGACATATTTACCCAGTGCCTGAGTGAAGACCGCGATACATTTCAATGGGCCGACGACGAGCAGCAAGCAAGACCAACAACAATTGCTTATGGGACATACGCCTGACAATTTACATTTATATATAGCCATAATTAACATTAGTTGTTGCTGCTGCTGCTGCTGCTGTTGTTGTTGTCATACGCATTGCTTAACATTTCTTTATTGTCGATGCCGAAATGAAATGCGAATGCAGGCAGCTGTTTACAAAACTCGAAACGAGTATTGCATACACATGTACTCGTACATACGATGTCTGTACAAATTGCATACCAAAAACTAAAGAAGAAAAAGAAAAAAGACAAAATCAAAATATCCAAATAAAATGTCAACAATTCAGATTGTACAATGCGCATGCGCATTGATTGGCGCGACGATTGACAAATTTGTCGAACTGACGCCAGATGCATAAAGCAACAACAACAACAGCAAAATGACGAAAAAGAGCAGCACAGATATGTACTTAATTATGGATGTATAGATGTATAGATGTATGTACAGATAAGTACTTAAGGCAAATGCAACATTTGCCAAAATGGATTTTAATTGAGTCCAACGCTATGGCAATTAAAAGCAAACTAGCTCTCAATGTGGAGTGACGGGCCAAGACAGGTCGGCTCAGGGCAGGCGTAAGCTGTTGCCGCAGGGCGACTGCAGTGGCAACAACTTCAACTGCAACTGCAACTGCAATTGCAATTGCAGCAGTAGAAACAGTTGTAATTTGAACACGAAACAAGCAGCCAAATTCGAGAATCAGTTTAAATGAGTTAGCCCAGAAACAGAAATGGAGTCGAAGTCAAAGACGGTGCTGCTGCTGTTGCTGATGTTGCTGCTGGTGGTCCCCAAACCAAACAATTTATGGCCAGCAAGTTTTGCTGATGATGTCGACAAGTTGCAACACTGGGGCACCAAAACGGCCGGAGTGGCCGGACAATTGTAGCATACATATATACATACATATATCTCTCTCTATATATCTATATATATATATATATATGTGTGTGTGTTATTTTGGTCTACCCAAAGCGGCAACTGCAACTGCAACTGCAGCTGGGAGCCCGTTGCTTATGTAAGTGATGGCCGCAAGTCTGCGTTACGCCTGCAAAACGATTGCGTACAAGCTGCATACTCCAAGCTGCTTACATACACACATACATACATACATACATACATATATGTACACTACATACGTGCACACATTTGCAATTTCTCATCTAAAGTTGTCGCTGTTGCTGTTTATGTTGTTGAAGTCACATTTTAGTATGTTATTGTTGTCGTTGTTGTTGCTGCTGCTGCTGTTGCTGCTGCTGTTGCTGCTGCTGTTGCTGCTGCTGTTGCTGCTGTTGCTGCTGCTGTTGCGTCTGTTGTCGTTTGTTCACTTTTGCATAAAGCCTGCGTTGGCTTAGCCTTGAAAATGAAACTGGCTATTAAAACAACCACAACAATTATTTATATATATATATTTATATTGTTGTTGCTCTGATTGTGCTTCAAAGTGGAACATTGCGGCTTTAGTTGCATTTTATTGCAGTTGATGTTGTTATTGTTGTTGTTAACGTAGAATTGATAGTCGGCTATGCCTTAATTGATTAGCAATAATTTTTGTTAGTAATTATTTATATTATTCTCCCCCTGAAGTCGAGTACCGACGGGATTCCAGATATATCGGAGCTTATAAAAAAAAAATACAAAAACAAGTAGGAACGACGATATACGATATAACCTGAAGGGTTAAGTGTATTATAGTTTTATTGACGAATTTCACTTTAAAAGTCTTTGCACACTCAAATGTATTCAGGTAAATGGGTTCAGGGTATAAGCAGAGGTCACCACACAATAAACAATAATGTCAAAAATAAATTAAATAATTCACACAATTAATTATTGCAAAAATTAAAGTTAATATGCCTTTTTTGCTAACAATATTTATTTAGAAACATTCTTCTTAATAAATGTTTTTTTTTTTATTTATTTTTATTGAGTTTATGTATATTTACATATTCTTTTTAAAATGGCTAAAGAGACTGGGCATCTTTTTGAGGGTAGTAACTTCCTGCTCAACGTTTATTTAAGTATATATTTAAGCATTTTCTTGTACGCCCTTCGACATTTGTTAGACAATGGCCCATTCATAATCCAAGCTGGTGTCAACTAGGTCTTGGTGCCTGAGAGCAGTTTGAAAGCCGAATCACAAGCAGATAACACACACATACACACATACACACACAGCCATAACAAGCCAAAAAAGATGACTGGCTAACAAAGGGAGTGAGTGGTTGGTTAGGTTCTGCGTTCACTCAACTCAACTCAACGTAACTCAACGCAACTCAAACAAATTTAAAGACATCAGTGTTTGGTGGAAATATTCGGCGCTGATGGTGCACGTAGTTGCCTGGTCAGAATGTGCTGCACGTCATGTCACGTAACGGCACGCTTCACAGACCCTGAGCGTCACACAATGTCAACGCCCCAAAAGATCAATGTCTGTTGAAGTTGCGTATATGCCAGGGGCGCCGCCGCACCCGTTTACAGTCGACCGAAAGGCGCTCAAAGCGGTAAGCGGCGGCTTATGTACCAAACGAGAGAGAGAGAGAGAGTGAGAGAGAGAGAGACACAAGAGTTGTGTAATCAAAAAGTTTAACATTTGAAATTTGGAATTAAAGTGCAACCAGCCAAGCGCAAGGCACAAGGCACAGGCACAGACACTTGCCGCGAGGCTCCGTGCAACGGGCAACAGGCAACGGGCTACGGGCTCTGGGCTCCGTGCTCGGTGCTCGAGTTTTGGCAGTGTAGTGCGCCAGTGGATGAGGGTGTGCCAGTTACAGTTACAAAACACACACAACAACAAATGTCCCCGATGAGTGGCATGGGCATGGGCGATAAGCTGTTTGCATTTAGCTCCGCAATTTTTGGCCGGGATTTATGCCGTGTGAATGTTCAAGTCCCATTGTTGGGCCAATCAACCAGCCAACAACCAACAGTCAACAGTCAACAGTCTTGTCGTGCGAAATTTACTTATGACCCAAGGTATTTTCAATTAAGCAACTACCATGCAAATAAATCATGGCCAGTTAGTTTGTTAGTTAGTTAGTCAGAACAAAAGACCCAAAGCAGCATCCATTATTCCACTGATGATGATGGATCTCAAGATACAAAACCGCAATG